TTAATAAGTCAGAATATCTATCTTTTTCATTTTCTGGGTTGTTTGTATATATTATTACATACATATCATATCTTATATATTGTGCATTATACTAAAAGTTATACACTTACAAGTAATATATATATATATGGGCATAATCAAATGAGAACTAATTAATTTGTGGTAATCATGATGTCCATTCTCAACCACAAATCAATAGATAAATTAGGAAATTTATAATTTTGGTAATTTTTAATTAAAATTTTAATGCAAAGACATTTTAGGTATTTTTTCTCCTCTTTCCTATCTCTTCTCTTCTCTCTCCATCCCCCGTCCTCCGGCCACTGTTCTCTGGTGATACCACAGTGGCATCACAATGTGTTTTATATGTGATTGAGTATCACACTGTGGTCGTTTGTGCAATCGATCGGATATGTAACACAGTGGTATCACAATACATCTTATATGTGCTTGAGTATCACACTGTGGTATCACCGGAGGACGGTGGCCGGAGGACGGGGACGGAGAAAGAAAATACCTAAAATGTCCTTGCATTAAGAATTCAATTAAAAGTTACCAAAATTAAAAATTTCCTAATTTATTTATTGATTTGTGATTGAGATTGGATCCCACGGTTACCACAAACTAACCAGTTCTCCTTTGAATGAGACTATATATATATATATATATATATACACACACACACACACACACACGTCTAGCATTTAACCCAATTATGAGTGAGATAGGGTGACTTTGCACAAATACAAGATAGGTCTTGGGTTCGACTCCCTTTCCCTCGGGGTAATCGTCAGCTGTTGAGTGAACCAAAAAAATGCCCCTTGGTGGCGGGTACTGTGTAGGTTTGATTGGGATTGCCGATTATCAACTTTTAACCCATATATATAGAATCAAGTTCATACGAGAACATTAACTAAATAAGAGAATAAAAAATGGTCGAATAACATGTAATTTTACATTAAAATCACATGTGGTTCTACACTAAAATCACATGTGGTTCATGCTACTTTAGTTGCGACCTGAGGCCGTGAGCCATTTCGCCTGCACACCCTTCTGTTGCCATTAGTGTAAAATCACATATGTGATTTTGGTGATTTGGTTGTTTTCATATTTTCATATTTTGTCACTATTCTCGTTTGAATATCTCTATATATATAGAGGGAGGATCAAGCGAAAACAATGACAAAATATGAAAACGGCTAAATGGCGTGTGGAAAAATCGCGTAAATCACATGTGATTTTGTATGTGATGTTAGTGCAAAATCACATGTGATTCAACCGTTTTCTTATTCTCTTAAATATGTATCATTCTCGTTTGATCCAACTGTCTCTCTCTCCATATATATATATATATATATAGAGAGAGAGAGAGAGAGAGAGAGAAGTGGATTATTATACAACCCTTTATATTTGTACAACCCAATCTCAATCGTCCATTTAATTTGATGAATATGTAATTTCATAGAAGTTTTGATTGTTACCTAATATAAAGTATTGATCATAATTAATGAACCTTATTCATCTTCCATAAATATTTAAATCATAATAAAGGAACTCTCATCATTTCCAAAGATATTTTAATTTATTGGGTTGCATTGGTTGTACAAATATGATGGGTTGCATTTGAAACACACTATATATATATATATATATGTGTGTGTGTGTGTGTGTGAGTGAAGGTTCAAACGAGAACCCATGTGATTTACGAGAACGCGAGAACAATTTAATAACCTCAAACTTTTTTAATTAATAAATTAACTTATATTAAATATAAATAAATTAATAAGGGTAGTAATGCAATTAAGTAATTTTTATAATTTTTATTTTATTTCAATTAGTCATAATTATCCTTTTTTTTCCTGCACGTTCGTTTCCACTCTCTTATCTCCCCTTGTGATAATTTTGTGATTGTGTAACCATAACCTATCGAAACCATGATCAATCAAGTGTAACCATAACTTATCGAGACTATGAGTAATCGTTGTGATAATTGTGTGATTCTCTAACCTAACCGATCGAAACCATGATCAAATTGAGTGTGCATGTGATGTTATAATAGTGATATCACATGATTATCACACCCATATCACACCAAATGGTTTAATGGATTTCGTCCGTAATCGTTGTGATAAATGTGTGATTGTCTAATCTTAACCTATCGAAACCATGAGTAATCGTTGTGATAAATGTGTGATTGTCTAACCCTAACAGATCGAAACCATGATCAAATCGAGTGCGCTGTTATGATAGTGATATAACATGATTATCACACCCATATCACACCAAATCGGTAGTCGATTTTCTAAGTTAACCCTAGACGAGCGAAATCCTTATGATAATTGTGTGATAATCACATGATTATCACACCCATATCACACCTAAACCACACCAAATCGTGTTGATATAAGCGGTAATTTGATAATTGTGTGATAATCACATGATTATCACACTCAAATGACACCAAATYGTGTTGATATAAGCGATAATGTGATAATTGTGTGATAATCACATGATTATCACACTCATATCACATGATTAACCGTTTATTAAATAATGATAATCATGATCGATTTTATGATATAATTTCTATTATTACCCTTTTAATTTTAATATGTTTTGATTCTTTTTAAATTTCAATTTTAATTTTAAAAATCTTTTAATTTTATTTTTTATCATAATATGAGGTTATTGGGTTGTTCTCGTGTTCTCGTAAATCACAAGGGTTCTCGTTTGAACCCTTCTCTCTCTCTCTCTCTCTCTATATATATATATATATATAGACAAGGTTATAAGTATGTATCCCTTAATGTTGCCGGTATCATGGAAGACTTCTTATGTCGATGTCTCCTATGTTNTATATATATATATATATATAGACAAGGTTATAAGTATGTATCCCTTAATGTTGCCGGTATCATGGAAGACTTCTTATGTCGATGTCTCCTATGTTGATAATGTTGTGATAATGATATGATTATGACGTGATTTTGTTGTCAACAACTCTGTTCAATGTACAACAAACATACTTATCATATGTGATACATTCTGATCTGTGAGTATATTATCAGTGCGTGATTTTAGAGAAAATAAAGTTACCAAGATTACAAAGAAAGAAAGAAAGAAAATATACCAAAGGGCTTTTGACCTAGCGGTATCGTAACCCTTGGCCTTCTAGGAGGTCAGGGGTTCAAACCTCATAATAGGTGAGGAGGGTGTGTGAGTTTATTTGTTGCATTTGTCGTATATAAATATTATATACTTCAAAAAAAAAAAGATTACGAAGAAATACAAAACCATATTATTATCCTTATTTACTTTCTTTTCTTTTAATAGTAATAATGTTAACTAATTTGGAGGCTCAAAAATGTTCTCATATTTTCTTAAACTACGGGTGTTCTCGTTTAAACCCTCCTTATATATATATATGGTTGGGTTCACATGAGACCAGCCTGTTTTCGTGAGACTCGTGAGGCCACCTTTTTACACTTGAAACTTTATAGCGAAAACACTGTGAAGGTAAAAAAAAGCCGAACATTCACAACAAAAACACTGTGAAGGTTACCTTCACAGCATTTTACTGTGAAATTTCAAGTGTAAAAAAATAGTCTCACGGATCTCACGAAAACAGGTTGGTCTCACATGATCTCAAGTCTCTCTATATATATATATATAATCAACCAAAACAATAAAAAATGGAGGGAAAGAAATTACACCATAAAAATGATTATTTTATTATCTTTAATTTAACATTTATTAATTAATTGTGATATATGTTTTTCATCTGTTTTTTTATTCTACAGTTCTACCTACATCTTTTTCCTATAAATATATTTATTTTGTTATATATATATATATATATATATATATATATATATATATTTTCTATTTTTATAATATAAAATTACATTTATAGAAGTTACGTATGATTTTTAATATTTATGACGTGAAAATTATGTATGAATGCTCACAAATATAACATAAAAATAATGTATGAAGATGTAAAAAATAAATATTTTTTTTTTCCAAGTGCCTGATTGGTTTGAGCTTGACTTTAAATGTCAAAAGTATCAGGAGGTTGCAGGTTCAAATCCAAGGAGGAATAAAAGTCTCCTTGTGGTCACGTAGGTTCAAATGCGGTGACTCCGGGTTATCTGCAAAATAGGTGGTTGTCCTGAAATTAGTCGGCTCGCATAGCGGGTTGAATATCCAGGTCAATAAAAAAAAAATTAGTTGATTTGTGTCATGATAAAAACATCATTTCAAGACATTAATTTGGTCGAATATTTGTGTCATGTCTTATACAAATATCATGTCATGTCATAATCATACCAAACACTATACAAATAACCAGTTTAGTTAAATTACAGCCTCTTAATCTAACCTATGTACCAAAAGTACCCTTATCTTATTTGGAGGTTACTTCATGTTTTCAAGAAATGAATTATAAAACTTTAACCATGATTTTGATTTACAAGAATTTTCCAATCCTCTAGAAAATGGTACCCCTACAATAGATTCGGGTTTATAGGATGCCAACAATTTCTAGGTGTTCTGATATATAAACTGTTTTGTAAGACTAAACAATAAAGCATCTATCTAAAGGTATTGTAATAAGTTTATATGACGTTTTTGGACGCCTTAATGAGTTTTTTAGTACCATTTTAATACAAAATGTCGTATATGTCTTTGGCCCCTTCAAAAAAAAATATGTCGTATATTACAAAATGTCGTACCATTTTAATACGTTTGAAGCCTCGAGATGACTTGTAGAAAGAAAAAGCTTCCCCTTGTTAGTTCGTAGAGCCAACGCTAGACGGCCAAGTTCATGGATCATGCATCTGGTCCCTCTCCCATTAGGTGGTTTTTTGCGCCAAAAAGTGAGGGAGATAGAGACCCGTCTATTTGATCGATCAGGAAGCAACTTTGACAGAGGGACTAGAAAGTGGCCTCACGTCCTTTTGTATGGTACTAGAACGGAAAAAACCTGATCATCGAAATTCAAGCGTAAACAATTTGAAAGGATCGGTTTTTGATAAAGGCTTTGTTATATTGTTTGTTCAAATATGCATATTAGCTATTTTATGACACTTTTTATATGACAATTGTTTTATACGATACTTTTGGAGTGTCCTATAAAATAGCTAATACTATGTTTTTTTTTTACAAAAATGTTCTAAAAAACTTGTTATGACACATAAAATGTCTTATAAACTTATTACAACATTTTTAAACGGGACGTTTTATTGTTTCATCCTATAAACTTAAATCTTATAGCTAGTCTATTACGATGCTTAGACATTTTTGTCATCATATAAACCCAAATTTGTTGTAATGGGGTATCGTTGTATTTATATAGAAACAAACCAAACAAAACCAGTATATGATACTCAAAAGCAGGGTCTACAAAGATGTGATCACTGCACCAAAATTCGGTTTACAAGATGCCATCAATACATAAACATCCTAATAGAATGTTTTATAAGACATCATTTATAGACACAAAAAATAAAATGTCTTATCTAAAGGTGTTGTAATAAGTTTATAGGACGTTTTTGAAGTCTTAACAACTTTTATGACATTTTTAATATAAATCGTCACATTATAAGACATTTTTTTTATAAAATATCCTATAAACCAATTTTTTATAGGACATTTATGTTTGTAGGACACTTTTTTAAATAGTATTCTATAAATTAGCTAATATGATGTTTTCTTTATAAAAGCGTTCTAATAAACTTGTTACGACGCCAAAGAACGTCATATAAACTTATTACAACGTTTTTTTATACGATGTTTTATTTTTTATTCCTAAAATTTTATTTTAGGACGCTTAATAAATACTTGTGTCTTAGGGCAAATTTTAAATTATGTGAAAATTCAAAATAACTCAACTACTATCATTTACTCCCCGTTTTGTAATTTTCTGATCGTATTTGTGTAAATATATGAACAGACATTGCCAAGGAAAGCACCAACAACCAGAGCAGCATCACCGATTCAGAGGCATGCAAGCTTCTTCTATGAATCCCCAACAACAAATTATCTCAGATTTGCTCCATCTCTTAATTTCTACAATTTAATTTTGTAATGTGGAGTATTCATTTGATTTGATCATCGTCAATTTCAGGGCAATCGAAGCGGTGTGATCAGTGGAGTGGTGGAAATTAAGCATCTGCAATTGATCGATCGAAGCATGTAAGTTTATGTTTATACCTTGTTAATCGAAGTTATATTTTCCATCTGGAGTTGCAATGGATCACTGTTTTTGTTGCTGATCGACGGATCACAGAGCTCCTGAATCTACAAGAAGAGGCTTGCGTCAATCGTTCTGTTCTGCAGAGTAATGATGTTGGCGATGCCACCATGTAAGTTGCTTACAATCCAGAAAACTGACATTGTTTTCTTCTGATCGGTGATCGAAGATATCACCGACTCATGGATGTAGTTGCGTTTGAGTTTGTGCTTTTGATTACAAAAACAATATGGACGGTTCTAAAACCAGATCGAATTCGAGCGGTGCTTTTTTTAAATTGTGTGGAACTGGAAGCTTCTACTTCTTGAATCACAGTCATTTGCAATATTACAGGCCGTTGGAGGGGAAAATATTAAAAAAAAATGAAAATTGAGGAACGCTACGTTAACTGTTCGTTTGGACGGTGTGCATCCTGGTAAATGAAGTCATTTCTTAGTATTTATGCATGTACACGTGCATACAAGACAAATTGCTTAAAATTATATGTACATGTACATACCTCCATAATGAATGGTTAACAAGGTGTTTCTCAGTTTTTTATTTTTTTACAGTTTTCCCATAAACCTGACTCTGCAATATTATTATATCGCTCTCAAATTAAAAGAATATATAAATTTTATCAGTTTAATTAATTTCTTTAAATTTTTAGTTGATAGTTAAATACTCCATTAATTATATATCAAAGTAAATCTGTAGGGTTATGTTTGAGGGAAAACCATAAAAATTGGAAATCTAAGGAAGATCATAGCAATCGTTCATCTGTACAGTATGCACAATTTTAAACAATTTGTCTAGTATAAAAACCAAGATTGCATAAGTTGTACGAATGAAACAAGTTGTATTTGAAACACCCTCTTCATATATATATACATTTATTTATGTATATGCATTATAGATGCACACACACACATATACATATACATATACATATACATATACATATACATATACATATACATATACATATACATATACATATACATATACATATACATATACATATGTGCACACATAACCAAATACATAAAACATATGCACATATATAGATTCGGAGGGAGGTTTCGTGGAAAACTTATGAAAATGAAAAACAAACACCCTGGTAACCTTCTATCTAGATGGTATGCACATGTGCATTCTAGTAATTTTAAGTAACTTTTCTGGTATGCACATGCACACATGCATAAAAACCAATAAATAACTTCAATTATCAGTATGCATGTCTAAATGAATGGTTACAAGGGTGTTCCTGATTTGTTTTTCATTTTTTAGATTTTCTCCTGAACCTCCATCTAAATCTATACATTTGCATATGTTTTATATATTTGTTTATGTGTGTGCGTATATGTGTATGTATAATGCATATACATAAATGAATGCATACATATGAAGAGGTGTGTGTGCATATATGTATAATGCATATACATAAATAGCTCCATACATATGAAGAGTGTGTTTCAAATACAACTTGTGTCATTCGTACAACCTAATCTGAACCGTCCATCTACTCTAATAAATATCTTTCTTCATAAATATATTAATTTTTTTTTCTAATATAAAGTGTTGGATCATCATTAATGAACTATAATTATCTTAAATAAATATTCAAATCATAATAACTAAACTCTTATTATTTCCATAATTATTTCAATTGGTTAAATTGTATAGACTGTATGAATGAGAATATAAATTTATATATATATATATATATATATTTATATTTTAATATTTTAATATTTTTTATTCATAATGTAGACATATAAAGCTAGTTTTAATTTTAATGACAATAGTTGTCTTAAATATGACACATGCACAAAAATTAAATGAACCCTCATTTAAGTGAAAACATATTAATTTAAAATTTGTTTAACTTAAAGGCTTTTAGCCTGAAAAAAAAATTTGGAGTACATGTTTTTAAACACCAAAATAAATACGAAAACAAAGTATGTTTTATTATTATGTGTTTACACTTTATAATGTCCTAACAAAATACTAATTTGATATGCATCGTTGGCTGATAAATTCTATGATTTAAGAGTCGATATTCGTAACAAAATACTAATTCAGTATGCATAAATAATCTTTTATTTGCAACTATATAATGAAGCTAGGGACGTTCCAATCTTTCTAGAAGCCCTGCTACATCCAAAACTTTTGATTACATTGCATAAAGAAGATAATAGAGAATATATGATAAGAACAAAAATGGGCTAAACCTAAAACGATTAACAATATGAAACTAAACCTAAGTCCTTAATGATTTGAACTTGAAACCAAACAATTCATGGTTTGAACCTAAATAATTTCGGCTATAGTTTTACACAGATCGATAAAAGACCTTAAACACATGTAAATTTGGGCCCTAAAATTTCACATTTAACATGCTAAAGGACGACTCTGAATGAAGTGATGAATTACAAAATAAATATATAATATGAGCTTTTAAAATTAATTAATGAGATGTGTTTATGTAGCATACATCCATATATCATATATGTTAGGTCTTCCACCTATAATGGTACAGCTTTAAATGACACTGACTTCCAATAAAGAAAATTGGTTGCAACAGTCGTATTCTGTTACAAAGATGATATTAATTATATCAAAGAGGTGGTCGTAGTTGAAATCTGGGATTAGTCGGCTCGTACATCGGGTTGGATATCCAGGTTAATAAAAAAAATGATGATATTTATCGTCGACTTTGTCATTATCAACCTATTACTACAGTTGCAAAGGTAAGATACATTTCTTACTTCAATCAATTGCTTTGATGATTATCAAAGGTCGAAGGCCTTCGGAACGTCATGCAAATAAAAACTAGGTCTTGCCGCTCTTCGCTTTTTCCATGTAGGTCATCTCGAGCCTCCTTAGGGCCATTGATTATTTTTTTTGGTTGTTATCTTCCGTGCCCATGAGATTCATCAATATGCACACAAGCTAGTCCAAACACCGGTGGTTACAGTTAAAAGAATAGGATAAAACAATGCAACAAAAGAAAACCTATATATGACATGGACGGACTTACCATGGTGGTTACGGAGGCACGTGCCACCGTAGTATTTGTCCGTTGAAAGGGTAAAAAAATATAGGTTCGTGAAAGGTGCAACCATATTAATCTGTTGTGTGCCACCGTGTGTATTTTAAAACTACAATGAGAACAAATTTTATTTGGTAGAGTTGGTTTGCAAGGCTTTTATTTCACCCCAGACTAAGTTCGAATCTTGTTAGTGTTATTTTCTTAGTTAAATAGTGCCACCGATTGAAAAAAATGCATATATTTGTTTCTTATAGTCAAACGGTGTCACTGTTTGAAATTTTTACCCTATAGTTTTTTCTTATAGTCTAATGGTGCCACCGTTTGAAAAAAAATTCTAGGCCCGTCCCTGATATACGAGAGTATATGTGATAATGTAATCGGATAGAACGATGAGGTTCTGGTTTGCATAATATATTAACAGTAAAGTATTAATTAAAAGCTCCTGATCACATTTGCGTTATTGGTTGCAGTTCAAATGCTCAAATGGAACATCGTGATCTCTTTGATAACATGTGTTGCTGCTGTAAGACGTGAAATTATCACCAAACAGAATGGCGTTGTTGCGACTGATGATGGAGTCTGTTCGAGAATCGGAAGGGATGTTCTCCTTGAAGGAGGTAACGCCATCGATGCTTCAATTGCTGCTAGCTTTTGCCTTGGTGTCGTTAGCCCGGCTTCAAGTGGGATAGGAGGTGGTGCTTTTATGCTCGTTCGATTAGCCAATGGCACCACTCGAGCCTTCGATATGAGAGAGACCGCTCCACTCCTAGCTTCTCGGGTAAGGGCTAAAAAACCCATCAAAGAATCATCTAATTAAGTAGGACATACAATTGTTTGTTCCTATTAACTTCAAGCAGTTTATTAAGACATTTAGACATATTTAGGGTCCTATAAAGCTGATATTGTTAGAATATACATGTAAAAGAAACCGTTACAGAGAGGGAAAGGGAGAGGTTCCAACGTATACAGATGTTTGATGGACAGTCAACATCTAGCCAATGTGGGATTCTAACGGAAATTTAAATGTACTTGAGAATGGATCAATTGATGCTGTTTAGTTTGATCTTCTGTATAGGACATGTATGGTGGAAATGTTACTCTCCAAGAAAAGGGTGCTCTTTCGATAGCGGTACCAGGGTTGATTGCTGGGATTTACAAAGCTTGGGAACAATACGGAAAGCTACCGTGGAAGAGACTTGTTCGGCCTGCTGAACGTCTTGCTCGTAAAGGTTTCAAAGTATCTCCGTATCTCCGCAAGCAAATGGTGGTGACAGAAGCAGATGTGATGGCGGACGATGGACTTGCTGCCATTTTCACCTCCGAAGGGAGGCTATTGAAAACCGGAGAAACATGCTACAACGAAAAACTATCACAAACTCTTCGACATATCTCAAAGTACGGAATTAAACCGTTCTATAACGGTTCGATTGGATTTCATCTGGTTAAAGATGTTAGAAAGGCTGGAGGGTTACTGTAACACTCCCATTCCGAAGGAAGGGAGGTTACTTCAAAACGTAATGGAACGCTATATAAAACCTCCAAAATATAGTCTCCAATACAAAATAAAATCTTCCATAACGAAATTGAATATAACCTCAAATAAGATATAAAGGTCTCCAAACAAACTATTTCCAAGAAAAGCTAAAAACAACCAAAGAAATCTAATCTAATAGCCAAAA